AGGAGTACTTTTCCTACACTGCCTCCTCGTATGGCCTACTTCGCCGCAATTCCAACATCTTAGCTTTCCGGTTGCTTTATTGAACTTGGAGATGATTCGGCAGACGGTTTCTTCTAAAGATTCTGACAAATCCGTTTCTTCACACAGTGGCCGAACCATTCCCTGTTTGCTATTGGCCCGTTTAACAGTTTCGTACTCCAATGCACGAGCCAATGCATCCGCTTGCGTTTTAGGTCGGTCAATTCGTATTCGTTGTTGAGTGTCACTGTCCCGAAGTCCATCAGTAAATGCTTCCACTGCCAACCTTTCCATCAATTCTTCTGGAATATTAGGATATGCCAGTCGAGACAGTCTCGCAATATCTACCTCGAATTCTTGTAGGGACTCCGTTGGTTTCTGCTGACGGGTTTTCAATTGGATGTGATACACCGCTGTTAAATGAGCCTCGCCGTAGCGCAACTCTAACCGTTTTACCAACTGTTCATAATCCGCCAATTCTTCCGGGGAAAGGGTGTTCAAAATATCACATACATCTCCACGAAGTGCAACGGTCAACGCAGTGGCTTTTTCTTAGCAGCCGCCTCGAATTGCTTGTGGTATGTGGACCATGAGGACTTTCCGTCAAACGTTGGTGGTTTTGCTCGTGTTCTTGACTCTATTCCGCTTCCTTGGCTGATTTGGCTGACTTCGTTGAGTGTACTAGATGCACCAACATCCCTCTCGGTTGGTTTTGTCTTTCCATTAAAAATCAATTCTTCCAGCACTTTTATCTTCTCTTCACGTTTCAAACTTTTACTACTTTCTTTCAATTCACGTTTCGAACTTTTACTGTTTTCTTCCAATTCACGTTTCAAACTTTTACTATTTTCTTCCAATTCACGTTTCAAACTTTTACTATTTTCTTCCAATTTATTTTTTAAACTTTTACTATTTTCTTCTTATTTATTTTCCAAACTTTTACTGTTTTCTTCCAATTTAGATTCCAAACTTTTATTGTTTTCTTCCAATTTATATTCCAAACTTTTACTGTTTTCTTCCANTAGATACGTTCTAGATTTAATAAACTTCTGATTTAGTCATTTATCAATGAAATAGTTCCAAGTGTGTGTACACTAGAGTGCGCCACTCCATTATGACGTAAATGTTGCCACAATTTGGTTCAGGGTATGCAAACTTGAGCCCCAATGGAGAAGTTTCCATTTTTTTTTATGGATAAATTATCAAAAATTATAAAAGAATAAAACAAACCCGTGAAAGAATCGATAAAATATCTCAAGAAATAAGAAAGTTATGTGACTTTAAAGTTGGGCTTGCAAGAAAAATTTTGTTACACTTGGCGCTCCATCGTGTTGCGTCATTTGACCTAAACGACGCCGCACGTATTCGTCGAGTACGTACGAATGTATTATTATGTAGGAGCTTACGCCGTTCGATTCGCATTTTGTTTATTTAGCCGATGGTAGAAGTTAAAAAAAATACCTACAAATATCATATTGTTCCTATGTGTCAAAGGGCAACAGTTAAAAGTTAAATAAACACAAACAAAAGCAAGAGCCCTAGCGCGACTGAACTGAAACTAATACTTGAATGATTCGTGGTGCGGTGATATCGAATAGGTCAAATGACGTCACAAGCGAATCAGAAACCGCAGACGTTCCGTACTAAAATACGTAAACTTCAATAATCTATTTCTAAGTCATTTATTGATGGATTTCAAAAATTCTTTCGGTGATTGATTAGTTTTGATGTAATTTTAATATCATTACGTTGAATATAATATTGACAACATCATGAAACTTCTCTTCTTAACTCCGCTACTTTTAATTCGTACAACTTCTTTGCCATTGTAATGTCTTTTACTCAACCCTACACCTGACACCAGTTGTAATGTTCGTGGGTTTAACAAATTAACTTTTAAGACTCACAACAACAAAAACTATTTATTTACACTAATTATTATTGAACTTAAAAATACTATCAAATTATTGCTAACTTAGATGATAAATTACTCTATTTATTTACAGTACTGTTACTAAATCACTATTCACTGCGCTGTCAATTTATTTTTACTCTTTTCGGCGATCGTCCCTTCCTTTAAATACTCCGTTGGTTCATTTCGGGAACATTCTCGAGTCGCCCGGAAAAGTTTCTTTTTCTCTGAACTGTTTAATTGCTTTCCGAGAACGCAGGTACGACACACACATTTACAAAATACGGCGCACATGAAGAAAGGCGCCCGCGGCTAGTCGGCGAATCGATAAGCCGCTCACACACATGTATGCCCGATAGCACACAAACACGCTCGTGCTCTCTACAATATACTACAGTATTGTACACCTTAAAAAGATCTACAAAAAAGTCCGGGATAGTATATGTCTATCTCTTAGGGATAACTTACAATAACCATTTTTTATCCTTTAATTTTTTACGAGAAATAGTGACTTATTTACGAAGCGATTTTAAGCAATACAGCATTAATCCTTATCCAATTAAGTACATTTAAATACATTGTGCATTTAATATAGGTCAATATGGCCCTTTACAGGATGTAATTTAAATGAATATTTTCGAAGATATTACAGACTTAAAACGCAGGGACATAGCGGTTGCGGCGGTACCGGCCGGTTTGTATTGTCTAATGACAAAAAAGCTGTGATTGTTGTATATAAAGACATTCTGTAGTAAAACTATCAGCATTACACCCGTGCAAAGCATACTGTACAAATAATACCATTAAACCAATTCCTTAACCCCTATCCCTGTATGTCTGAAGAAGTTTCACTTCAGTAGCGTGTTGTATAATTGTACGTTGTATTTTTTTTTTTTTAACAGAGCTATGGGACCACAGTTATACTGCTCATATATTTAGAATCCGCAAACGACGTGTAATTTACTGCTAAAGTTTGAATCAGTGAATTATTATATCGGGTGCCGAATTCACACGACTCATAGGTCATCATGGTGTGACAATTACAATCAGTTCCAATGATAGACAAAAGACAAGGCTCCAACCAAATGACATGATTGACTATGATCCTATGACAATGGTAATCATAAATAATGGTAATTATGATATCGCACCCATCGACGTCTACTAGTGGACGTGCCTTAGCGGTCAGAATTGTGGTACACCGAAAGAAAGAGATGGAACGAAATTTCGGACAATATCCATCTCTCTCACGATAGTGCGGAAGCGTGTCATGAAAGAGAAAGCATTAGTCCGAAGCCATACGCCATCTCCCTCACTTTTCGAGCCAAGAAATTATTACAATGACATACGGCTAAGGCACGTCCATTAATATATGTCTATGATCGCATCCGCTTGCCTGTCTAGGTTATGAGGTGTGCTGTTATTGGCAAGTTAAGTAATAAAATATGAAGAAAGGAAGAAAAGCGAGAAAAATTACTTTAGATGGTGAAGTTATAACCCGAAATGAAGTAAAGCAAATCTTAGAAAATACAGTAGGTAACAATCATAAGCAGAAACGAGAATTACCTGTTAATGATACACAAGTAACAGTAACTGCTGAATGTGTAGAAAAAATTAACACCAGTGAAAATCAAAGTAACAATTTAATTAATAAAAATCAGGGACATGAAGAAGTCATAAAAAATGAAGAATCTAGAAGATCATTAAAAAGAAAGAGGCATGCTCTGCTTTTAAAAGAAAAACAGTTAAAATCAGTTTTAACCAATCAGCAACGGTCCTTAAATTACTTATCTTTATGGAAACATCATAAAAGCAAATGGAAATTTGAAAAGTTAAGGCAAGTTTGGCTACAGCAGAATATGTATGATATCAGCAAAGTTCCAGACAATTTTTTCATTATTTTACTTGAATATTTTACACAAAGTAAAGGGAAAGTTAAAGATGCTATTGTAGAAAAAGCAGTAAGTATTGTAGAAGAAGAACAGTTGGCAAATGCAGATTCATGTGACAAAATGAAACTAATTAGAGCAAGAACTGTTGTGCAAAATTTGGGAGTATAATGTACTGAAACAACTGCTCACTACTTTACATTGCTTAAATGTAGTTACCTGTCATAATTCAATGAAGTCTAATTTGTAATATATGATTTGTACTTATTTCTTTAACGTTATATTATATTCAATAACTTTTTGTTTAAGTTTTATAAGCTAATTACCCTTTTGCAGAAGTTGTAACTGCTCCATGCAGCACCTACTTCTGTTACTGACAAGTAAATTAAATAGTCTATGCTATCATAAATATAAACTATCCATATTTATTGGTTGGTGCAATATGACGCATTTTGTAATATTAAATAAATAAAACCACCTTGCTTTTTAATGTTTCAATTTATTTAGTTTTACTCAACAATTGTTTCGGTTTTTTAAGCTTTTACCAAGAGTAGTTAGTTGACTTCCTGTAACTATTTGTTTACAATTTGTGTACTTGTGTATTCTTTGTAGTCATCAGGTTTCATCTAATGTCATACATTTGCAATTAATGTAATAATGGAAAAAACTGATTCTGAAGAAAACTAGACTTGAGTTGATAAATACTTGGATTCTAATTTCTTGATCTTATAGAAGCAACTGATTTTATTATACTACATAAAGCTAGTTAGAGGTAAGTGTATGAGAAAATTTTGTCTTGCCAACGTGCCAAAAAAATTTAAGTTATATAATTGTTTTTCAAATTTTTTATTTTAAACAAATTGTGTCCTATCATAAAGTTGATGTGTCTGAATACTAAAATAAATAATTAATTAATTATTGCTTTATATCTCTCAAATAGGGATACACATGACCACATGCCCACTTGAATGTTAATCTTTTCAGAGATCTCATATGAATTAACTGTTAAGACAAAATAGTTTCTAAGGAATGCCTGCAAATATTGATAATCACTCTTATTAATTGGTTTGTCTAGGCATACTACTATAACATTAAATATAATGTTGGAATTTTACTACTTCACTAACAAACAATAAAATAAAATAAACAAGACTTAATGAGAATTGCAATCAAAAGCTTAATATGAAGATAATAATATTATTAGTCTCTGCTATTTCTCACAATTGTTAATAAGTGTAACAAAAGGTTGTACTTGGAGATAGTTAGTGATAAAATATATTCAATATAGTTTACAAGAATTCTTCACACCAGTCGTGAAGACATTGATAGCAATCATTTGATTGTTTAGCATTGGCTTGACAAACATCTTTCATCCATTCTTGAAATAATTCTTGATTTTTTTTTAATACTAAAAATTGTCCCAAAACAACGTATGCCTATAAAACAGAGCATTAATAATAACACCTAATATTTAAATGTTTCTTTTAACCTTATCAAAACCTGCAGCAATCAACCTCTTTCCTAAAACTTCACCTATTCCAGCTAACTCTGTTACAGGTTTATCCCCCATCGGTTCTGCAACAAAATTACGATGCTTTTGTGATGTACTCGACATTTTGGATAAAATATATTTCACGTTTCTAATAAAAAATAGAATAGGATAAAAATGATAACTTCCACTAGAAATGCACAAAATCGGTTAATTGGACATTAGTACTTCTTCAAATATCTCGATTTTTGTATTTATTTTTGCAATTAACCATTTTTTCCTTATATTTTTCGTCGTATTGCTTATTATAAATCATTTATGAATGGCCTGTTATATTCTAATAAGTACCATAGATCATGCATAGATCCGAAATTCACGGAAGCATTCGACTCATTCCGGAAAGCTCCGATTGGCGCGAATTTTAATCGGTGATTTCAAACTATGAAGGTAGAGATAAGGTGAACTGTCTCATATGGAAGGAATGTTGTAAAAGTGGCCAGGTGTAAATAGTAAATAACAGTTCAAGAACCTTCCAAAATGACGCTAGCGTAGGCAAAAGGTATGGTATGAGTGTAGCAGTTGTTGACGGATTAAAGTATGTCGAGTTAGAAAATTTAATATTTTTAGTGACTAGAATAGTTAGTAATAGTCCAGTATACCAAACCTCAATTATTTACGTAGTTCAAAGTAATTTTGTCTTTATATTTTTTCTATCCTATTCTACTAACTTTTGGCGCTTTATTTGAAATTGAGCATGTTGCTACTGTGGCGCCATCATAATTTAAGGCAGTTTGGTGGACACTTTTTCACTAGAGAGATAGTACTCATTTGGTCGAACGGTTCCATTAAAACATTTAAAAACACGATCTGCCATACAGGAGACACTTTCAAGAATCTTTGACCTGCGTCGTGTTCTATGCTTGCATATGCTTGCGCATAGCTTTCTGGCATCTTGATGTTGCTGTATAAATGCATATGTGTGTATAATCTAATATCTGAATTAGCTATTGGATATCGGGACTTAATTAATTGTACAACTAATAGTTATGTAAATTTTGTTATCTAATGCGAGTTGATAAAGTTGGGAATGCTATATTCTTTACGTATTAGGAGTATCCAAATTATTTGTGTATTATTAGAAAAAGGTTTTCACATAAATAGGGTTTAGCTTCGGAGTAGTAATGGTGGTCGTTCAATAAAATCTGTGTTCAATAATAATAATGATATCAAGTGCGTTGCCTACCTTTAATGTGGAAACTGTAGCGATGGATGAAAACTCACTTAATCAAAACGGCGCCCAAATGGGTGCTCAGAGTAGTCATAATGGCAATGGCAAACAATGTGAAGACGGTAATGTGAAAGTTCAATACTCTATACCAGGTATTTTACATTTCATTCAGCATGAATGGGCAAGGTTTGAATTGGAACGATCGCAATGGGAAGTAGATAAAGCTGAATTGCAGGTATGAAACTATTCAAGTATTTGGACTTTATTATTTAAATGTAATGCGTTTTTGTAGGCGCGAATAGCATTTCTTCAGGGTGAACGTAAAGGACAAGAAAATTTAAAAAATGATCTTGTACGAAGAATCAAAATGTTGGAATATGCCTTAAAACAAGAAAGAGCTAAGTTCCATAAATTAAAGTATGGAGTGGAGTTACAGCAAGGTGATATGAAACCTCCACCATTTGAAGATATTGCTATAGAATCACAATTAGAAAGTGATCAATCATACACTTCAGTATCTAACGCAACTTGGAGGCAAGGTAGACAGTTGTTGAGACAATATTTGCAAGAAATTGGCTACACTGATCGTATTATTGACGTACGCTCAAATAGAGTAAGAGCACTTCTTGGCTTGAATAATAATACAGAGCAAGATGAACAAAATACTAATCCAGAACAGATCAATGGGAATGAATCTAACAAAAGAGCAAGTGAAACTCAAGGTTAATTTTTTGAATTTTCATTTTTTTTACCTTTTCATACTTCTTTTTTATGTATTAATTGCAGTTAGGTGTTATATTAATAACCAATAACCTTATCTATACTATAAAGATTTGTTTTTCCAGGAAGAAGAACTCCTGCAAAAAAGACCCAATTGCCTGGATGTTTATCAGAAGCTTTAATGTTAGATACAGAAGCGGCAGTAATGGCAAATTTAGACTTTTTGACTAATACTGATGTAGATATGGAGGATGATGATGAAATGAGTGATGATGTAGATTTGGAAACATCTGATGATATAGACGATGTAAGATCCATTAAAGGAAAAGGTACAGTTTTTAACATATGCTTTTAAAATCTCTTAGTGATAATTTTTATTGTTTGTATAATATGTTGTCATTATTGCCCAGAATTTTTCTATTTNGTTTTACAAAATACTAGCAAGTTTATATTTGCCTCAGTGTTACAGAAGCAGTCGTAATTACTGTTATTCGATTGGCCACATGAATTGCCGCTTCCGATTATCGATTCACGCGTCTAAACGTACTAGAAGATCGGGGTTTATCTACGTTATTCAAAAGGTGTAGATTTGGAAACATCTGATGATATAGACGATGTAAGATCCATTAAAGGAAAAGGTACAGTTTTTAACATATGCTTTTAAAATCTCTTAGAGTGATAATTTTTATTGTTTGTATAATATGTTGTCATTATTGCCCAGAATTTTTCTATTTTAATTTTGAATGAATTTTTGAAAATCATAAAAGGTAATTACAAATTTATCAATATTTTAATGTCCAATGTTGAAACACCAGGCAAGCATATGTATGTAAAAATTCAATCATTTAGAAAGAAAAAGCTGCAATTTATTCAGTAGATACAATATCTACTGAAATATTTTTTATGGTACATGACATTTCCTTATAATCAAGTTATAGTGGGTAGATAACATCAAATGCAATGTCATTTCTCTGTTTTATTTGCTGTTGCTAGTTAATGGTAATTTCTATTCTGTTACTGCTTCAGTGCTTAACAGAGTTTTGTTAATAATTTCTGTACAATGTTTTAGTTGCTACAATTTCTAGTATATGTTTTCAATACTTCAATAATGCTTACATTGTTTTTGCCAATTGAAATAATTCAAGTTCTTCTGCATTTAGACTGCAAATCATCTTTTTAAATGTTCCATCAACTTAATTGTTCAGTTTGCCCCAATTAGTAGAAGGTAAATATATAGTGTTGTCTGTATGATTTCAAATTCTTTAATTTTAATTGTAGTGTAATGATCACTTATGATGTAATTTTTTTTAATGACCTATGCAGATCAAAAATTAGGAAATAAACCTACAAAGTTGATAGTAAAAATGCTCAGCACTTATCCTTACATAGGATAAAACAAAATCGCTCTCGCTGTCTGTATGCTTAGATCCTTTAAACTACGCAACGGATTTTAATGAAGTTTTCAGCAATAGATAGAGTGATTCAAGGGGAAGGTTTATGTGTATAATACATGCATATCATAGTACAGAAAAGATTTGTAATGTGATATCATAACAAACATATTTTTGTGGGCTTACATTCTGAGATAGATCAAATTAATGTACTACGAAATTGTTTATCTTAAAAAGATCGACAAAAAAAGTCCGCGATGGTATATGTTTATTTCCTAAGAATAACCTACAATTACTTTTACATATTACAAACAAATATCGGTTATTTACCAATCTATTTTAAATAGTAATAGTATTATTCCTTATCCAATTAAATACATTACGTACGTTGTGCATTTCATGTAGATCAAAATAGTCCTTTACAGCGTATCATTAAAATGGATATCTTAGAAGATATCAGAGATTTAAAAAGCGGGGGCAAAAAGCGGCTGGCGGGCCGTACGTCCGTCCCGGTTGGCAGGCGCAGGGTGTGCCTATAAATAAACAATCAAAACCATAAATAACATTCAAAAGTTGGTCAACAGATTAGGTATATATGGTGAATAACTTGATTTTTTCAAACATTGATGCACTGTATTCAATTTTGGAAGAGGCTGTTCATTTTACCACAGAACTTCTTAATTCTTTGAACCCGTCTGACCTCTCCACATAAAATGGTGTTGAAAGTAGTTTGTCCTGTTATTTTATTAAGGAACCTTAATCCGCCTAAATTGTGTAACTGTACAATAGGGCATGATAAATAACAGATTGAGATGCCTTTGGATTGCAAGTAATATACTTGTATATCACCATGTAAAATGCAAACCGTTCTTTTTAGAATAATTACGATATGTTAAAATAATCCCATATTAGAGAAGAGAGATTAGTGTAAAAGTCCAGTATACAATGAATTAGGTGCTCTAGAAATAAGTAGGAAATGGTACTGGCATGAAAAAACAAAAACATCGCTCAACACTATAATTAGGTTGAGTCAAGATTATACAATATACATAGCAGTGGCGGGAGCGTATGGTAGTATTGGTGGGTCTTATAACATTGCTCTTAGATGTCAGAAAAACCACGTATGCGCTTGGAAATTTGAGGGCACGGTCACGATTTTTTCGAAGCTCTTATCTGCTTTTGCCGTCCACCATTAGAACAATTGAATAAAATCGGTAAATTGTAAAGAGATATTTGCCCACTTCACGTAGCCTTGAAAGCCTACTTATGTAATAAGTATTTCAACGCCTTTTATGTATACCGTTAAATTAACTTTCTAATGCCTTCCTTAATATATTTTTGATTTTTGCATATTTTAAACTTTTATAAATATTATTTTTTTAAATACGAAAACTAAATCTGTTAAATAGGTTTATTTTATTTATTCGGACTTAGAAAATGGTGCATGAATTTTGTCGAACAATGTTACTACACAAGTTATGTTTAGGTACGTGGAATATATTTTTCAAACGAATTTCAATTAACTATCTTGTAGGTGCCAAAAAAACAAAACTCCCAATTATACGTGGCGGATTCATTAGACGGAGAAATACTTTTGTCGGAGTTTTTTAAATTTTCTAAAAGAACCGTTCGAATAAGTTTATTCTTAAACTTTTTAAACTTAGTGTTGCTTCCTCTATAACCTTATAATCTCAAAAACTTAATTTTTTAGTCGGTTATTAGCAAGATTAAAATTGAATAAGAAAACATTTTAGGAAAACGAAAAGGTCGTTTTGTGGGTAGGGAATGGAACACGTGTCACAGATGGGCACCGGTTGTCGTGGCGAGCGGTTCACCAATGAACCAATCTGTGTTTTACAAAATACTAGCAAGTTTATATTTGCCTCAGTGTTACAGAAGCAGTCGTAATTACTGTTATTCGATTGGCCACATGAATTGCCGCTTCCGATTATCGATTCACGCGTCTAAACGTACTAGAAGATCGGGGTTTATCTACGTTATTCAAAAGGTGGATTGATATAATTTAATTTTTCTTAATCTTATCGCGCGCACTCAATCCCTTTAAATACTGTAATCCTTTTTTAAGTGTCAAATTAAACAAATTTGATTTTTTAAAGATAAACGAAAAATTACATGTATTAGCTTACATCCCTCTTACGTGCTCATAAACTATATGCTTAAGATGATCCGAAGAGAGATATATTTCGAAGCTAAGATAAAAGAGTATGTTTACAAAAAAGTTGTACCTAGTTAGCATTAGGTGAATTATGTCTGTAAGCAGTGACGTATTTTAAAATTTAGCCCAGACAAAAAGTTTATTGTATTGATTAATTTATTTATTGTTATGGTAAAGGTGCAGTTTACGTTGCTTTCCATAAATTGTTTTCAGGTGTTGCAATGCGCTCAACAACACAATATAGTAAATTCATACTATAATATACTGTAAGTAATCTTTACCGAAACGACTTCATCCTTCTTTCTACTGATTCTAAAGAAAGATTAAAAATTCGCAACAACGCGAGCCCCCTGTGTGTTGTTAGGTGGGAAGTTACAACTATATTATCGGAACTTAATTGCCACATCATTTCTTAGTATTTATAAGTATTCCACATTCTCATGATTTAATGTTAGACGGCCTTTTTATTGCGCGTTGTTGGTTTATGCAGTGCAAGCTTTGATTACAAGTTTCCTTGTACTTCTTACAATGATCTATTTACATTTTTATTATTTTAGCCCATTACTGTTTCAAAACACGACTCTTGGTTTCGAGTATTCAGATCACCTGAACGCTATTTGTACTAATTTGCGAGGACCGGTGTCAAAATTGGCAAGATTTTTAAATATTTTTTTGTTTTAAAAAGTCAAAAGTGTTATAACATTTTATGTCCCAAATGTCATTAGGAACGTGCGATTAAAATATTGATTGTAAACACACACCCTGTATGTAATATAATAGTACCGTTCTTCCGTTTTTGTGCTTTGTTGAGTACAGCGGTGCTCGTCAATTTATTATGATTCTATTGCGTCTTTCTTCTATACGAAACCGTGTCAATTTAGCCAGACCATCAGCTAGAGAGGAGGGTGCTGGTGGATGCTCTCCCTCCCCAATACCTGCTTTTGTTGGCTTTTTCAACTTAGAAAATATGTTAAAAATAGACTTATTTCATGATTTCGTGTAAAAACGCCTGCAGGTAAAACTTAAAAAACTTACTGCTTATTTATCGACTAGGTATTAGTTCTGTTAACTCCACTAAACACACAGATACGTGCACTGTAAGCATTTTTTTGGTTTCAAAGCGTCTGCAAAAATTATTACCCAATCGCGCAAGAACATCAGGCATTTTGAGAATTCCATTTGCAGCGATCGAGCACATTATTAGCATTATGAACTGGCGTTTAATACTCCCCTTGTTTCATACAACCCCATACAAAAAAGTACTGTGGGGTTAGATCCGGACTACTAAGAATGTAAACATTACCTCATGAGAAAAATTTACGTTTGAAGCACTGACAAATCCTTTTGCGACCGAAAATCAGTTTCCTGCAAGGATGCAGTAACTGTTTTTCTAAAATTCGATACACTGTACCATGGAAGGAGCCAAGGTTCTGCCCTATTTCGCATGCACTCTGTAAAATAGTATCATGTCACAATTTTCTATCTTATTAAATGCCATTGTAACAACTATTGTTAGTGACCTGTGACAGTAATACACTGACCTACTGTCAATGACTTGATATCATACATACAATCTACAGCGTTGAAGGAAAAGAGAACTACCACAAGCTGGGTGTAACATAAACATCGTCATTCTCACGTAATCTAATAAATAACAAACAAAATGAGTACCAAAATATAAAAGAAATACAATACGGATACTGCTAATTACCAGTTGATTAAATGAGGCGTTACAATGTATGTAACTGCTAGGGTGAAACTGATCCTTGCAGGAAAGTTTAAATGCATTTTTTTCGAAAACAGTGAACTTACCAAAACATTTACTTAATTTCCTTGTTTTATAGTACCCCATTATCTCTGGTAATTTATTTTAAAAACACCCTATATATACATGTGTTACATATACAACTTCATAAGTAAATTACTTTGTCTAAACAAATTGTAAAATATTTTTTTGTTACATTGTGTGTAGCTAAACTTGATAATTTAACTGATGACGTGGATGCGGAAGCTATGGAAGTATTAAATGAACTGAATTTACTTTCGGAAACTGAAAATCAACATCAACTTCATCAAATGAAAGGCGAGGAGGGAGACTGGAGTAAAGGTGAGTTAATTTATAATTTTTTGATACGTTATCTTTTATTTTATTTTACTACAGGAAGAAGGCCATTGGTTCTTTCCACAGCGGGCATTGAGTATGTAACCGGTTCGGGACTTGGAGAATTAGCACATTTAACTGTTAATAATGACACAGAATCTTCTTACGATATAAGCAGCACTAAAGAGGTTTTTAGGAAAACATGGAATGCCAAATATACTTTAAGGAGTCATTTTGATGGAGTTAGAGCGCTTGCATTTCATCCTAATGAACCTGTCCTTGTTACTGCTAGTGAAGATCACACATTGAAGTTATGGAACTTACAGAAAACAGTTCCTGCCAAAAAATCGGCGTCTTTAGATGTGGAGCCATTGTATACATTCAGGTGGAGATGTTTACGTGAAGTTTATTTATATAGTAAAATTTATACATGTTTTTTAGGAGCCACAATGGTCCAGTTTTATGTTTAGTTATTTCGGGGACAGGTGAACATTGTTACAGTGGGGGTATAGATGGGAATATTCACTGTTGGAATATTCCAAATTCTAATATTGATCCATATGATCTCTTTCAACCGGATGTATTAAGTGCTACTTTAAAAGGACATGATGATGCTGTTTGGGGATTGTCTTTCCTTCATTCCAGACAACATTTACTTTCATGTGCAGCTGATGGTACCGTAAAATTGTGGTCACCATTTTCCAAGGTAAATATTGAATTGTTTGTTAATTTCGCATAAGTAGAACAAAAATGGCTTTTAATGTTCCAGAAAAGTTTTAACAAAGCATTTTTTATTACTCTTATTTAAACAGCATTGCACTAGAAATGTCACAGTATATATTGTGCTAGTGTTTAATGTAAGTGTAACATATAAATACAATATTTGCCACATTTCGGAGGCCCGGAAAACATTAAACTTTACATGCTGTATAATTAAGTGAGTCAATTGACTAATTGCAATAAATATAATTACGTCACGCAATTCGCACTGTCAACTATGGGGAGGTCAGGAGGGCTAGTAGAGGAGGAGGAGGCCTACGTAACTTGTTGTATTTAATGATCTAATTGTCGTTATCGTTGTTATAAGTTGGTGTAATTATTTTACAAAATCCACACTTGTATGGTTAGTATTCCGAAATATTTGAAAGGTAACATCTGAAGGCACTGTAGATTAGTCTTGGGCGAACATTCATTTTAATTGTTCGATATATGGACACCTATCGATATATTAGATAATTATCGGTAGTTATTGATAAGCAACCGGTAACTATCGTCATATATATTTAGATACATCACTTTTAATTCTAGTAGATATTGTTCTTAAATAAATCCGTATACCATAAACCATAAGTGTATAACTGTTGTTTATTCTAATTATTTTTTTCTTAGAAAATATCTAATTTCAAAAATATTTAAAGAAATCCGTAATTATCAATATCAATATCAATATAAAGTAAGGTGTTGACTATTTTGCTTATATCCTATTAAAATAGAAGCTTTAATATTAATATTTACAGATAGCATTTTGCAATTTTCTATTTCCCATTTAAATGACGTAGGAATTGTTCCTTTTTAATTTTGTAATTTTATGACTTGACAGCCAATTACCGTACAAGAATGAACAAAGCATTTTTTGTAGAGAATTGCTCTGTAAAAAAGGTGTGATTGAAGATTTTCGTATGTTTAGCCGATATATCGATAGTTTTCGATATGTCGATATTTTCGATGATTATCGATATCGATATGTCGATACATATTCGTTGATAATGTAACTATTGCTATTTTTATCGATATATCGATAAGTATGAATTATTATCGACAAATCGATATTTTTGCCCAGCATTACTGTACAGTGCAGTCCTGCTGCAACCTGGGGGTGTAAAAAGGTACTCCAGTTAATGAGCTGTCAATGATAAAGAATCTTATCGACCTTTGTTATCGAAAGCTTCAATTAACGAAACACAAGTTCCTACTCGTGACGTTCGCAGGAGCTGGTATGAAGAGAAGCCAATTGCATGTAATGTCGATTACTAGTAGTCTGCTCTCCTTACTTATCATTCCATTGTCAAAGTTAGTACTATTATCATAAAATACAAAGAAGTTTATTTTACCCACAATA